GGGGGGTCCGGGGTGGGGCATAAAACCCCATTTTTGGGGTTTAGCCCATGTGGTGCGCGCTTTCGCTGCGCACCCCCCACTATTTTTTAATTTTTTTTTTGATTTTTTTTTTTTTTTTTTTAATTTTTTTTTTTTTCGGGGGGGTCTGGAGCCGGGTTTGGGGGTGCCCACCCCCGGAACCCCGGAACCCCGCCGGGGCCCCGGGGCCGGGGCTCGACAACCCTGGTCCGCTTATCGACTTCGGATGATTCCGGGTCACAATGGGGTGCACAGCTTTGTCTGCTCTACCAGCATTCCAGGGCCTTCTAGCGCGGTCTTGTTACTGGCAACGATACCCGACTGCGCCCAGTTCGGATGTATCCGAACTACCCCGCTGTCTTCGCCTTCGGCCATTCGTTCTACGAAGGGTAGTCTGATGACGAGGGTTAACGATACCTCGGATTCATCCAACTAAAAAGAGTCGAGAAGGTGACGCTCGGGTGGAAGAAAGACGAGCTCGAAACTTGTGTTGCGACTGCAGTAAACGTGTCTGTTGTTTGGACTGGTCGAGCCACAACCAACTAAAACTCACGACGACGACGACCTCCCCTTGTAATGATGGACAAATTATAACGACACACTACGGCAATCGCGGGGAGGTTCGGTGTGTGGTGGGGGGACAACAAACCGAAGCGCCTCGGCGAAGTCGGATTAATCCGAACCACACCGATGGCTTGTTCGGATTTTCCACATGCGCAGAGGGTATTGACGACGTTGCACGGTCTGATAAACTTAAACGACAAAAGCACACGGTGTTGGCACAGCCTCTCGTGGTCGCACGTATCGGGACAGCCCCTGTCGAAATCGGATAAATCCGAGCCACACCCGTCTTAAACACTCAAGGACGAAGACACACCGTGGGAAGTTCGGGTGAGCCCAAGGACAACGGGGGAGTAACGGAAGCCTGGATGGCTGGATGGGCGTCAACAGACCGTGGGGTTCATCTGCCGGTCCCCGTCTCGGATTAATCCGAGCCACATTGGCGGAGTTCGGGTTCAACCGAACCAAACCTCCGGCAAGATAGGAAAAACCCAATGCTCACAGGTCGTTGACGAGAACCCGTACTGTCGATGGCGTCCTCTTGTGGACGACCGCCTCTGGACCGCGCTCTTCGAAATCGGATGCATCCGAGTCACAACCGTTACCGATTCAGAAGTTCGTCGGTGTAGTTCGGATGCATCCGAGCTCCAAAGTGGTGTGGACCACGACCGTGTGGCCCGGGCCAATCCGAACGGTGTAGTTCGGATGCATCCGAGCTCCAAAGTCGTGTGGACCACGCTCGTGTGGCCCGGAGCAATCCGAACTCGAGTTTTCTCGTCCTTTACAATCCGCTTGTCAACTTCGGATGAAACCGTATCACCATGGGGTGCACATCTTCGTCTGCGAGGTCTTGCTTTTCCCGGACCAATCCGAACGGTGTGGTTCGGATGCATCCAAGCTCCAAAGTGGTGTGGACCATGCCCGTGTGGCCCGGACCAATCCGAACTCGAGTTTTCTCATCCTTTACAATCCGCTTGTCGGTGCAGGTGCCTATGCGACGTCTGTCTTTGCGAGGTCTTGCTTTTCCCGGTGCAGGTGCCTATGCGACGTCTGTCTTTCGACTGCGCCTGCTTCGGATGTATCCGAACTATCGTCGGTCTTTCGACTGCGCCTACTTTGGATGTATCCGAACTATCCCGCGGTCTTCGGTTTCGACCATTCGTTCTCTTAAGGGCAGTGTGTCGAGGATGGCTCAGGATGCCTCAGATTCATCCGAAACGTGCAGGCGTGTGGACCACTGTCGTCTAACTATGACTGAACTCCGGTCTTTTGGGGTCCAGGTGATCGATAACAGAATACGTGTTGTGGGTTCTGAGTGCATGTGCATTCATTTCCTCCGCGTGTCTCATGGAATGGCTACACACGGACGAAGCCGCTACGCTGGTGGTTCCGCTCCGCATGGAGAGGAGCGTCGAGGGACAACGTCGTCGCCGGCAAGGGAAACGAGTCGGGGAGGTGGCGGTGGGGAGGAAGAATGACGGGCTCAAAACTTGTGGTGCGACTACAACAAATGTTTCTGGTATTTGGACTGGGCGAGCCAGGACGGCTCCGACCCATTGAAACCACCGTGCGGGCCGCTCTTGTTCGTCGCCGCTCGCGCCGATAGGACGCGTCTCGCAGGGTCCATCGTCGAGTGGGTCGGCGAAGGCGAATACAGTTTCAAGTTTACATTGCGGAAGCATTACAGAAGTGATGGTTCCATCGACGACATCGCAAAAGGATGCAAGGTTGCCGGGAGGATGTTCGGCGGGTACGGCCGGCGTGCGATATCTTTGCCGTCCTTTGTCCCGCTGTCGCCGGGGCACGACGAGACCGTTCATGTGACAGACTTCCTCGAGGTTTGGGCGAGATCTGGTACCTCTGTCGGTGCCGTGGACGTCGGACCTGGGACATCGATCAGTGGGCCTGTTGGGTTCGCGGGAGGAGAGTGCTCTGAAAGGAGGATGGGAGGTCAGGGTGGCCTGCCAGCTACGCCTCCTGATCAAGAGGTGGGCATGTTAGACGACTCGGAGGACGACCATCCGCGTGCTCCTTTGAAAACGGGCTTGCATGGATCTCGCCGCCAAGGTTTGCTTGGGGAGTCGACGCCACGTGGAGGCGGCGATGGCGAACGGTTGCAACAGGGCTCAGAATCGACGACTCCTCGTCGTCTGGTCGAAAGGATCGGTGCGTTCGTTCGTGGCATGTAGGTGGCCGAGGTTTCGCCTGGAGAGCGCGCGGGTGGTCCGCAGGTTCGAGAGGTGCGTGGGTCAGATGAGACGACTCGCCGGGCCCGACCTGCTCCTGCACAACTGCAGATGGAGTCGAGCCATGAACGAGAAGCACGTGGGAACGTCGCCGGTAAAGAGGAGGTGTCCGAGCAGGGGCTGTTCCGTGAGAGATCGGCCGAAAAGACTCAGTCGGGAGGCAAGCACAACTTGCCAGATGAGGAAGAGCGAGAGGGAGTAGGTGCTATGAAAAGGCAGAGAAAGGTAGGAGGGAGTGCTCGGACGCCAACAACACGAGAGGGCGGTTCCGTTGAGAAGAGGAAAAGGGTTGGAGGTGGGGATGAAACGCCAAAAGACTCGTCGAAACGGCGAGGAACCGGTAAGTCTTCCGGGAAACGGTCGAAATCATCGAGGGGGAAGAAAGCAGATGAGGGCGACAACGGGGAAGGTGATGACGGCGTGGAGATTAACCTCAACGCCTTTAACCTCGACAATGCGTTCTTCCTCGAGATGAAGACAGGGGTGCAGAGGGACGTCGTGTTGCACATCCATCCCGAAAGAATGTTAGCTATTCCAGACTGGGAAGACGCGTACAACCACCGATCCTTGGATGAGTTCCTCGTTGATACCATCGCGTCGGCTATGATCGACTGCTACGAACGTAAAGACATGAGATACAGGAAGCACATTTTCGTTCTTGCTCTGATCGTCGCGCCTCCAGAGAGGGGCGAGCCTGCTGTGCGCGTGCTGCCTGGTGACTTCGACAGCTCACAGACGAGGAATATTGGTATTATCCTGTGTGTGGACAGCATAACGCGAGGGCGGCGATGAAGGTGAAAGACCATCCCGTGTTTGAGTACTACAACTTCTGTAAATGGCCGTTCAGACCGATCTACTTCCCTCACGACGAGTTCGACGGCTACGCCCATGTCAAATGCGAAGACAACATAAAAGACAAGAAGAATCCACCGCGCTTGCAGGTTTTGTCTATGCGGGACATTCGCAATATCTGGAAAATTAAGGGCAAACCACGTGTAGTGCTCGGCAATACGTCGAAGAAAAAGGAAGAGGTGCGAAAGTGGGTGCAGTTCATGGCGTTGGCTATGAAGAAGACACCGTACACGCCTTTGTGGAACCTGTCAACGGAAGAAAATAAAATCAAGGAATGGGCTGAGAAACTTCGATACTACCTCCCGCTGGCCATGGGACTCCGTCTTCGCTTTGGGGGAGAAGTTCTATGAGGAGTGGTCGAAAGGGAAACTCCTTGCTTCCGACGGCCGGCGTTGGACTAAACTGCCGCCCACCCATGAGGAGGTGGCCAAGCCAGGACTCTCCACTGTGACTGACAGCCAGGGGCTGAAGAAACACGTCTGGTACGTGAAGGTGGACGACTTGTCGTTGAAAAAGGGCAAGGGGAAGCCAAAGAAAGGCGCGGAGGAGAAAACTTACTACGTCCAAGTTCCTGAGCCGGATGTCCACTGCTGGAAGGAATTGATAGACTTGACAGACCGCCAGAAGAAAAGGCTGTTGAACGGCGTCTTGAACCTTAACGTCATGTGGGTTCAAATGAGTAGCAAGAAGTTGGCCAAGCAGGGGAAGTTCAGTGTCAAGGAGATGGTCGACATAATAAAAATGGACCGAATTATGATGAGGCTGTGGCACTACGTGGAGTTCGAGTACGACGAAATGGATAAGTGGGAGTGGAATGCCAACTCCACGTTCTTCAGATCCAAGAAGCAACTGTTGGAAGAGTTCAAGGACAAAGGTCTCGACAACAAGCTTTGGAACGAGAGCAGGAAATTTTTCACGGACAACGCGTACGTCAACAAGTGCCCTCAGTTTCTCGGGTGTCAACACGACAACAACATCAAGAGAACAGCGGCCCTCGTTAACGACCAGCATTTCCCGGCGGAGTGGAAGCGTGTCGTCCTTTCGGTAATCACTGGAGATCGTGCCAAAGGCAAAAAAAAACCTCGGGGCGTTGATGAATGCATCAACATTTTGTGGACGAGGACAAGCGCCTTGACGATGCAGGCCCAGTTTAACGTCGACCCATTGAGTGCCATAGATCATAAGGAGGCGCTGGGAAAACTAGGGCATCAGCTACGCTCCCTCACTTGCGTGCTCGACTTGTGCTGAACTGTGGACCGTGCGCAATGAGACTCTGGCGCATTCGCGTCTCTGAGTGAGTTGCTGGGCTTCGTTTGTCAGGACTACTGGACATTGGTGGTATTCGTTCCCTGCCTGTGGAACCTCTCCTTCATGACATCTTTGTTTGCGCTTCGGGCTACCCGATGCTACACGGGGAAGTGGGTTCGGAAGACGGCATCGAAGAAGACGCATCAGTTCGAAAACAGCGTCTGGGAGGAGCCGGATGTGATGCACATCCTTTTCAAAGGTGAGGATCCTCGGCTACTAACTCACCCGGTGTAGGAGGGAACGGTTGCCGAAGACGACGACGACGCTCTCCGGAGGAAACAGAAAGTGACACCCACGAATGTGGAGGAGAAGTCTTTCAAGTCCTTGACTTTCGCGGACATCGGAAACCTCACCCAGAGGGGGGTTCTGTACAAGGACGGCGAGCGGAATCCGAATCAGTTATGCAATCAGCTTCTTTTCTTCTGTGGTGTGGCGGATGCCGTGCTGTTCTTGGGCAAGCCGCAAGCGCAGATGGTGTGGAGTCTGCTTCAGCAGGGAAGGCACGTCTTGGCCGTGGATGGGGACACAACGTAGCTTGAATACACCATGCAGTATGTCACCCATGAAGTGTCGTCCAAGGCTTACCCATGCGATTTCCACCATGTCGTGCTCGAGCCCGTTTATGACCCGAACAAGGACATGTTCTTCAAGTTGACTCTGAACAATGGAACTTGCTTCGCTTAGCTCCAAAAACGGTTGATTCTTTGCTACAACTGCCCCGCCAACAGCATCGGTAAACCGTGTTGCGCTGGTGGAGCTAATCACAGGGTCCTGCTCGCCAGGCCGCGTAATCCACCCAGGCCTAAAGTCGTTCGTCGTCTCCATTGAGGTGCTGCCTGTTACCGCTTGAACCCCACCGTCCTCGTCGCGGTCGACATCGGACCCCTGCCCGTCTCTTGTGTGATGCTTTGTCTTCTCTCCGCTGCGAGGCTTTTTCTTCTCCCGGCTGCCCTTTTTCCCCTCTCCGCCGCCCGCGTGCCCCGGAGACCGCTGCTTCGTCGACCGCTTTTCACTTCCACCTGCGGTACCTCGTTGCCCGCCGCCTTCACCATCCCCTTCGTCGTCCTTAAGCGGTCGACGAGGCAGCGGTCTCCGGGGCACGCGGGCGGCGGAGAGGGGAAAAAGGGCAGCCGGGAGAAGAAAAAGCCTCGCAGTAGAGAGAAGACAAAGCATCACACAAGAGACGGGCAGGGGTTTGATGTCGACCGAGACGAGGATGGTGGGGTTCTGGCGGTAACAGGCAGCACCTCAATGGAGACGGGGAACGACTTTAGGCCTGGGTGGATTACGCGGCCTGGCGAGCAGGACCTTGTGATTAGCTCCACCAGCGCAACACAGTTTACCGATATTGTTGGCAGGGCACTTGTAGCAAAGAATGGAACTTGCTTCGCTCAGCTCCAAAAACGGTTGGCGGATGGTCTCGGATCAATTCGAACCTCGAAGACGACATCGTCGTCCAAGACTCAGTGCCTTCCGGGAAGCGGGACGACAACATACCACGGATCCGACAGCGACAAGCTCGTCCCATGTTCGGTTTCGCCTCAAAAGGAAGTTCGGATTAATCCGAACCGGGAAGCCAGTACCGTTGAGCGAGCACAGCGGTCTACGGAACTCGAACGGATGGTCCAAGTTTCCGAAAACCCTGGCGGCAAAATTTGGATTCATCCGAACCAGGAGGACGTATCCGCCATGACATACGATAGGTGTCAGGATGCCGTAATGCTGTGCATGGAAGTCCACAAGGAGCTGCAGGCAGGCTGTCCGGATGAGGGTGAGTTAGTGACCAGTTTCAATGTCGAGCACCGCACACTCGGAGCCGAATGCCAGGTGATGGTACGCGCTGAGTTAACAGTCTTAAGCGACTCACCGGTGAAAGCAGACACGTCGGCGCCGTTAGAAACTGCGGGGGCTCGGATGAATCCGAACCGGGGCCCTGTGAGCATGTCCATCCCTGATGCAGCTTTGGAGACGACCGTAATTCGGATTCATCCGAGGCATACGGACAAAGGACTTCAACTGGCAGGCGTTGACAGTTGTCGACTTCTGACGACTTTGGACAAGGACGATTCCGCCGACGACCGGATTGATCCAACACTCAGCGACGTCGGGATGGAGCAACCAGTTCAACCAGCATACGACGACCCCTTGTACTCCGGCCTTCACGACGAGGCGATGGGAGAGGACGTTCTGAAGAAGTCCTCTGACGCTGTTGGAGATAGATTTCTCTATTTGAGTGACGACGATAAAGACACAGCGCACGAGGACAAGAAGTTAAGGGGGGGAGAGGTGTTATTGGACATCCATGGGACCTTGAGCACAACACAATACGACACACTAGCGATGGAGAAAACCCGACCTGTCGATGTTGTGGACGTCGACGCTCTCTGTCCGGAAACGGACAGACTAAAATTACCCGTCGCGGACGTGGAGGATTTTCGCCATCGGGACGGGGATGAATTTATGTCGTCTCCGGTCATCGACGCCGACATCTCGAACTTGTCAAGTTTCCCTGTGGGTTTGGAGCACGTCGTCGCCGCGTCGACGCGCATGGGGGCGCCAATCGTGCTGGGACTGCCATCGGTGGGCTCTAGTGACGTGGAAGCTAAGCATGGTAAGCACTGACTTCCTCTGCTTGCTTCCCACTCGTCGGCCCGTTCGTGAAGTGTTGTTTGCTTCGTCGATTTTGGGGAGGTGTGTAGGCGGCCGCCAACTGCATTTTGACGATGTGCTTCGTGAGGTGCTGTTTGCTTGGTTGCTCTTGCGAAGTTGTGTTGTTGATCTCCTGCTGAACTGTCTGGGTGGCTATTTCTTGTACAGGTCGACGAGCTCGTGGACAAACACACATGTCGCAGGAGCCGCCTGCCCTCGCCAGGTTGTCAGTCCTGGTTGCGGGAGGCACTGATCGTCGCAATGTCACTGATTCGTTTCCTGGGGACACTTAACCTCGGGGCCCTCCCAGAAGGGTTGTCGTGCCCGTATTGGGCCCTCGCGCTAGACTTGTTGCAGAGACAGCGGGTGTTGCCGAAAAAGACTGCAAGGAATTCTTTCTCGAGGCTTGCAGGGATATAAAGAAGGACGGTACTGGTTTAGAATCAACTGTGTGTGGAAGGTCCAGAAGTAGGGGTGATGTTATGCGTGAACTTTTCGGGCCACAGAGTAGCAGTTCGTCGGACCTTGGCCGCTAGAACGGCATTTTCTCATAGTGCCCCATCCTTTGTGCTTGCTGTGTGCTGCGGGTGTTTGTTGAACAGGGTTTTCTCCAGATGGAAGAGCAGTCCTTGAAGACGTTATCTGCTCTCGGTTGCCGTGCACTACCATCGTCACGCGTTTGCCGTCGCACAATTTTACAGGTATCCGTCAAGGACATCGTCGCACTCGTGGATGGATCCGGGGAGCTCAACGATGAGGTCGTCAATTTCTACATGGCGATGCTACTAGACGACTGCGGCCGGAATGCTGCTACCAAGAAGACGTACACCTTTAACTCGTTTTTTGCCTCTACACTGCTTCTGCGAGGTCCGGCAGCTGTTAGTAGATGGGCTAAAGATGTGGACCTCCTGTCTCATGACCTCGTCTTGGCACCAGTGCACAAGGACGGCGAACACTGGAGCCTTTTGGCCATTGACTTCTCTAGACGTATTTTGGAAATCTATGATTCTTTCCCGTGTTCGTCATCCAAAGATGACTTCTACTCCGCACTTTTAGATAAATCTGTTAAATTTTTGAACACGGTGGCAGGTGCCGCCAGTGATAGTCGCACTTTCGACCGCTTCGCTCGCGAGGTCAGCGTGAAAGGTGTCCCTCGGTAGCAGGACGGGGCTAGTTGTGCGTTGTTCATGTTGATGTTCGCTTCCTGTTTGGCGARAGGTTTACGTCCACCTTTTGGTTTCTCCCATAGACACATCTCCTTTATCAGAGCTAGACTAGCTTTGGCGATTTGCGATGTTGGCAAGTAAGCGACTATCTTTTTGCTGATCATGTAGTGTAGAAGGGTTGACATAGAAGAACATTTCGTTCTTCTCCGGACAAAATTTGTTCCTTTTCATTTTTTCCGTGAGAGACTGGTGGGTGTTCTCGGTTTGGTTC